GAGGGGGTGTGTCCATATGTCACTCGGGGTTCATATCATGAAACCTGCCGGGCGGCAATGGAAAGAGTTGTTCGTCGTGAATTGCATGCTCGCCACAAGTTCCCCTGAGAAAATATTGGCCTTCTGTCGTGGAGAAACAGGCGCTTTAAGCAGCTACTGGCGCTGCCGTCCACAAATCTGAGGGAACGACACTGACATGGAGCCACTGAATTCCACCACGAAACTTGGCTCTGCAAGGACTTCAAGTTCCCCTGTTGAGAGGTTGCATGGCCGTTGCACCGAACGCTGCGGTAACGTCATTCCAAAACATGTACATGGCAAAGGAAACAAAATGGCCTGCGTAATAAACTATAGCGAACAAAATCTGCGATGTATGTAGGCTATTACAGAATTGGTGAAAGACACTCAAGATTGCCGTGCACAGTCTAACGGGTCCAAAAGACAATATGCAACGAATACAAGTAGCATTGAATAAAACTTTTCACGTCAGCTATGGCTGTGTACCATGCCGTCTTTGTGTGCTTAGTATACATTGAACAAATACTGTGCTGCAGTGCTAAAGATGTTTCAGAGACTCTGCTGTATCGATATCAAATCAGTGTTCAATTGCGCACCGCCTCGCCAGGTAGCAAAGTATCGCTGCTGAGGTAACTTTGTCGACATCATTTTTGGGAGAAAGCAATCCCAGAACAGATCCCTGGGGTTGCTTGGCACCGACAGTCCCCAATGAAACCGTCCTGGTCAACGTAATTTGCATCTTCGATTTCCAAAGTTTCAACAAAACGCAAACATTCGCCGGCAGAGATGTCTTTGGTACTACGGAATCACTGTTGCGCCAAGAAGGAGGACCCCAGGAGGAGCTCATACACCAACTGGAGTAATTGCTGTTTCAAAACTATGTCCAGAATTTGCCCTGAACTATCGCGATTTGCACATCGTTAAGAAAATGATTGAAACCATATCCACAGCACTGTCGGTAACTACATCTTGCTGCCCCACAACGGCAACTTTTTGCCGTTTAATTTTAATTGATTTAAGTTCAGAAATTGGGCAATTCGAAATATTAAAAAGTTATCGTGGGTGGCCCAAGGGACGGGCTACCCCACAGGAGTGCTATGCGTGCAACGCGCAGGGCTCCGCCCTAGTTTTGGGAGAAACTAATACATAAGATGCCATCGCAATTGCTAAATTGCGCATATGTGTTTTGCAGCAGTGGAGCAGCGACAGCTGTAGCAACGGCTCAATATTCCGACCTTGTTACCAGCCACTGGCTATTGTGTCTATCGTCATGGACTGGGGGCTATTGCTCGATTCCCCGACAATGTCCAATTCCACTGGGTTGCGGCAGCCACCGAACTTCAAGGCCGTGCCTGAAAGAGGCGGTACAGGTTGGTGGGTGGAATCCCGGCGTGCCTCCGGAAAGCGACAGCATCAGGTGGTGATATCCGTGGGGTGGAAGCTGCAGACACACGCCCCCGACTGTATCGACCTTCCCCAGAGACAAAAACAGGTTTTTGTCGGCAGCGTGTAGCACGGGTCTCTGATCAGAGGCCCCTCATGAGGGGACCGTCCTGCCGAATTTTTTGCTGCTCGGTGGCTTCATCTCAGCTGCACTGTATTCCGAAGCTCTTAGAGAGAAGTGCAGCTGCATTGACCCAGTGCATGTACTTGTGGAGGAAGTTTTGGCCCGAGCCGCAATTATTGGCCCCTCCCCCTCCCCCCCCCTCCGTTCCTAAACTACTGAAGCGAAAATCAGTCGCTGAGCTCGTCGTAGCAAACTTTGGTGCGCTTGGTCCGTTGCGATGGTCAGCAACTTGGACCAGCGTCTCAGAGCTCAGTAATTGACCCATGCAGTTAAAATCGAACTTTAACCTCAACAAAGTGGTTGGGTACCAAGAACTCCTTGGTATTCGTATAAATCAGGCTTCCGAGCAAGAGTACACATCTCCTCACATATCGAGTGATGGACAATCCAAATGGATTGTGATTTACTGTTAGGTGAAACCCTTGCCTCTATATGTAAATAACTTGACATTTATTGACTTTACGACATATTCTTGGATGGAAACTCCTTCCCTCGACACCCACAATTTCCTTATTGAAATTTGCGCCGTCGCTCCGCAACTAATTGGCACTTCTTGCACAGGACGAATTAGATGGCTGAAAGCTCCCTCGCTCTGCCGTGTGAACGATATTGATTGAATTATTGATTGATTAATGCCTGTGTGGTGCCATTGTCCACTATTTGTTTGTTGGGGGTTAGCTGGGACGGGGCACCTACAATAGGGTGCCGTTTCGAAGGAACTAGATTTTCAAGACATAGATACTTTGCTGGCCGGTGAGCACCAACAATTGTATTAATTAATCACAACATTACAATGCTGTGCACCTGAAATGTGCGAAGACCGGACGCGCAGGGGAGTGCGATGAATCCAAATTCTCACAGCAGTCCTGTCGCAGCTCTTCCACATCAAGGTGCATTCACACGTGCATTGGGCCAAAATGTCGCCTTTCAAGAGACATCGCATGGCAGCTGCATTCCTGGTGACGCTGGGAGTGGCGGTTATCAGAAATGGGCAAATCAGCACCGGCGAATTGAAATGCTTGTGGCGGTTGTGCTGGTACCGTGATCGTGCTTGAGAATGTGAACTTCCCAGTCATATCTGCGGTGGAGCTTGCAGCGCACTCCGAGCCACAACAGCCTGCTGGGAACTCTCACTTCAACTTTTGTGCTGGACTAACCGGCTGAGTGACGGATTGGTCTGCCTTGATATATGATATTTTTGCGCCGATATATGATCTTTCTCGCCGATTGATTTGTCAATCAATTAACACAGGAATAATGCAGATCAAGGCGAAGTAGCCGCCAGATCCGTTGGATTGAAAATATCGAAAGTACTCACAATTCGCTACTTGCAAAACTCTAAGGGATATTGCATATGATACTTCATCAAAAAAAGCGCCCTTGCAGGAGGGTGAGCTGGGATGGAATCACAAGTGATTTAGCATTGTCCTGGTCCCAACGATTTGCAGTCTATCCTAGCTCAGTACATAAAAGCACTATTGCTTTCTTTCACCGACTCTAGCTGTTCTCAATTCGTGCAAGGCTACATTAGTTGACTTGCAGTCTATTCAGTAGATGTACAACAGGTTCACATTGCCAGAATTTCCTCAAGCCAGTCGTCAGAGAAGTAGCGATGATACAGACTCAGCAAGCCAGTCTACCGACATGAACGATTACCGCTATCATCGTAGCCAATAACTTTGAGAAATTTCTTTTTACATCTTTGCTGTTTCGTTCACTGCCTGGAGGTCGGACGGCAACGACACCAACCACCACAGACTATTCTGGAATTGCCAAGCTGATTGTGTCCAGCAAGTCACACAGCCCCCGAAGCCGAGATAAATCCTGTCTCATTGCCGTGTGCATGTTTGTGCACTGCGAAGACGCTCAAATCTTTTCCGCCATAGCAATGCTGAGTCACTTGTTTGTTCTGTCCCCTTTCGCCCTCTTCGGAGACAATGCTGTCAATGTATGAACATGAAATGCCCCTTTTGTGAAATTCGGAATAGGTGGATCCTGAATGGTGTCGGTGCAATGCCTTCGATTTCAAAGAACAAATCACGGACAGAGCTTTTCGGGCCAAACACGGAGCTGGCGACGCTACCTTTGCCTTGTAAATGTGGTATTTCTCGAGTGATTTCGCATTGTGGTGACATAAGTTGTTGGCTTTGGCGCACGTATGTGTCATGTCTTCGCATGGCAATGATAAGATGAAGTGCAATTCATCTTGAGCAGCACATCAACTGATAGGACACAATCGGCTTGAGAAATCAAAGCATAACACGCGTTGTTGCGGATGTTTGTACACCACAACTGCTTAATGGATGGACAAGTTTTAGTGTTTTGGCGCTCACTTATAGAGGCCAATGCTGGGTTGCAAAGCTATTGCTACCGCACGTTCTGGCTTGGAAAAATTATGGCCGCAATTCATACTACTTTTCCCATCAGCTTGGGGGGCAATATCAGTTAGGTATTTAAGTTGCTTTCGACTTCTTGCGTGTGTCTGTGTGTGTTCCTAATGGCACACACAAACCTGTGGTATGTTGAAGCACACTGGCAGCTGACGGACACTGGGACTGCTTGTGGAGGCGTGGCACTTTTAGAGAATGAACTGGGAGTCAATACAACAAACCGGATATGAGGAAACCGCACTCGCCCTGTGCATGTCAGTGACTGAGAGACTTTCCATTTCACCCCCTTCTTCATTGCCACGGGAATCCCGCTACTGACATTTGGGCTATGCCTGGAACGATCATTGTCCGTGCACCTAACGGATGGCACCTCAGTCCATCATCATCATCAAAATGCGTCGATTGCAGTTGCCATGAAATGACAAAACAGAACAGTCCAACGAAGGGACGATGCCCTGCGTGCGTGTGCTGGCGATGCTGCAGGGATAGTCTGCCCCAACATCCCTGGTGGGCTTAGCACACAGAAGTGAATATGTGGAGGATATCTGATGTACAGCACATAGTGCCACATTGGCATAAACGCAGGAGCGTTAGCATCTAGGTCTTGCGTCCTACAAACACCTGCTTTTCCAAATGCATGGCCACTGCGCCTCATCCCTCACCAGCAAGAAATACATATATCAAGTTTTCCATATACCAAGTCTTCAACCTGGACTTAAGCAGAAACACAGAGGCTACGCTCGCTTGAAGCGATGCCTGCACAAACCACTATTGGGCTGGCCACAAAAGGCCACAAAAGGCCACAATAGGCCTGAACAGTCGAATTTCCCTCACCACTAATCCAGACCAGACCACCCGACGTGTCATTGACAAACGGATACAGAGAAGAGCTGAGGGCAGTAACGCGCCAAGGCGAATCATGCCTCAAGCACACAAGGGAGCCTCATTGTACAATGCGATCAGACTCTGCTGCCACATGCGTCCAAAACTGTGTGCTCCCTAACATCACAACGTCCACTGGCCATCTACAAATCGTCTTCCACAGAAAGTGGAAATCGGTTGAAATCATCGAACTGCTGTGATTCCGGACCACCGACATACTGAAGGAGCATAAATGTGAACATACACAGAAGCAAAGCCCAGAACAAACCCACCATTGCAGACACGTCGTCGGATCCAGCCCTGTGCAGCAAGAACAGTGATGAAACTATGCCAACTGAGCAAACTAGCAACAAGCAAGTGGTGCCACCACAGTCCCAAGACATAGAAACCATGCTAGTCTGTTACTTTGTGGGATGCCACACAAGACACCAGGCTAATTCCAGTCACCTGCAAGCTGCCATGGTGCACCTGGATGCGCCCTGTGCACTGTGCAATCAACTAGGGTGAACACTCTTTTGTGCAGAAACCACTATACAGGCAAAGACGCCACACAATCCCAATGTCAACTCGCTGTTTGCCATCAGTGAGCGCGGCCTCAATCCAGTTGTCAAAGAATGAATGTTGCCACTGAGACCATTGTTGGTATCCCTGCTTTTTCAGAACTTGGCCAGTATGCGCATGTCAGGAAATGCAGTGTATACTGTGCTGGTTCGGTCATTTGATGGCTGCTGGCTCATGGATGTGGTCATGCCTCATAACAGTGGTGACATCTCTATGGCCACCAGCATCTGTCCACTATCGCCCCACTATTGTTCCAGAGCCCAAACTCAACAATCTGCTCAACACCAGGGACTTGTGAGAACAGTCACATGCAGCACGGCTTGTTCCAGTCGACATAGACAAGAGCAAAAACACCCTCAAAGATTCTGAGACCGTTGACCATCAACAGCAGAAGGCCAGGCACCGATTCTGAACAAACCACTGTGGCAAATGGTACACGCACCTGCCATCCTTCTCTGCCGCAGCAGGGGGGGGAAACTCTGGCAGTCCACGAGCCACCCGTGCTCCTGAACCAGACTGCAGGCAACGAGGTATGGCATGTCACGATCTGTGTGCCATATCAAGTATACATGACAGACATGATGGGGTGTGCACCTGGCCATTAAGCCCAGTGGGTATGGGTGAAAGTAGACTACCAGAGATTTGGACACTGTCAGCAAGGCATCATGCTGAATTCTGCAAACATATCTAACTCTGGTTTTGATGGAAATGAGTACACTGTGTTCCCAGTGGCTACATGCCAGAGCCCCAGTCGTAAATGTGGTTTGAGTCCACAACAAACTTGACATATGTTACAATGCAAACACACAACCAACAGCACATCTCTGAATCAGCTACCAAGCTTGCAACACATGCACAAATACAGCTGAACAGAGACAACTGCAAGTAACAAGTACAGGTGATAACTTGAAAAAAGCACACAATGGCGGCTCCAATACATTCTTTTGCATGTGCTTAGTGCCCCTTGATCCCATGCTCAGCAACCAGTCCATTGGCAGCCTGAAATACCAATATCCTTTGAGTGAACACAATGGCGGCTCCAATACATTCTTTTGCATGTGCTTAGTGCCCCTTGGATCCCATGCTCAGCAACCAGTCCATTGGCAGCCTGAAATACCAATATCCTTTGAGTGAACACAAGACACCCACTCCCCAACAATGCCTATCTCGTACCCCTGGCTTTCTGGAAGGCGAGGTGCTCATCTGAGATCCACTGCTTGAGTCATCCAAAACCTGCGAGGGCCCACTTTCCAGTGGCGCCATGGCATCCCGAAGCTCAGGCGGCAGAGATGACATATGTGAGCCATACACATGGAGCTTGCTGAAAGTAGCTGGATGAAGACACTGCCTTGCAGCATGGACCACCCAGTACAACAGTGTGGGCACATTGACAAGGTGCAGGGACCTCAATCGTCCAGGGTAGTGCTGTGAAGGACACACAACACAGTGAGCACGTCACACCAAATGCACAAGTCCATTTGTGAACCTGGCTTTGGGATTGACAGAGCAGACTGACATCTTACCTGAGTCAGTGTTGCTGCAACGCCCTTAATCAGTGACAACAATCGCAGAACTTGAAACAGACCAGCGCCACTGCAGTCCACCACTGCCACAATCTGATCAGCACCTTTGTTGTCTAGGAGCCTGCGGACACCGCGGTCTACCTGGAAAAGCAAGCAATCAGACACTCACCGCAGGGTGTTTTCAATTCCATGCGCAGAAGCCATGCAAACATGAGAGTCAAGGAGACCACAGAGTATTGCATTGGACAAAAGTCGTATGAGTCACAAGCGATGGCATGCAGCCTGCGAGCAGCACAGGAGCATGACAAACGGCAATGGTGAAAAGATTGGGACTTCCAGATATCTGCACGACAGCAAGTATATTTCTCATCCACACAGAACCTGAATTACCGGGTTACTCTATGGGTGATAAATGGTCTGTGCATGTTCTTTCTGTTTAGCCTTGGTAAGGCCTATGCTCTTGCGGTGCCTCCATGTACACCCCAATAGCTATGATCAGATAGGAACGATATGGACGATATGTTAGAAATTCACATCAAATGATGCATAGTCAAGCCAGCAACAGTGGGCAGCAGGGCCACGTAATGCATTGTTTTTTTTTGCAAATTCATATCAAGAGAATATTACTGTTCCTCTTCAGCCAAATCAATCGCAGTATGGTCTGCGGATTCCATGTCTCTTCTCTGCTACGCAACAGAAACTGCAACAAACAGAGAGTGCCATGACGCATGGCATACGAGACAGAAATGCTCACTACACCATGGTCGACAGCACCACAATGGAGACACATGCCAACACGTCAACTCAAAATAGCCAAGTTTAATACCTGTGACACGATTGCCGTTCCCAGAAGAGTCGCATCTGGCCCCGAGCACTCACGCAGCCCTTTCCCAAGCTTTATGCACAGCACAGGGTGTCCAGAACTTGTGCGTTTGGTGAACTTCATCAGACGGCTCCAATCTGTTCTCAATTCTTTCAAGGAGTAGAATGAGTACGAGTGCGTCCACAGCAGGGTGGTCTTGATTCGCTCGGCAGCGAGTGCCAATGCCTCTTCTGCGGCCTCTTGTGTCCTGACACAGCCACGTCACATGTCAGGGCAGTACAAGATAACCAGAAACACACTTCACCAGCAGAACAATTCTCAATGGCCATCTCAATACGAGTGACACCACAGTGCTGATGTGGCAGGTAACCTGGAACTCACTTACGCCGCATTAGTAAGTCCAGCTGTCCATGCATAGCGCATGAGCTCCGCATGGGTGTCATCAAAGCGAGATGCAAAACGGGGGCATCGGCTAATCTGCTCCCAATCCAGCATAAAGTGAAGGTTGTTCAGGAATGGCTCGCACACACGGGCATAGTCGAGTGCATTCTGTGGGTTTGCCTCCTGCAAAGCTGCTTGCAGGCCTCTTGGATTGGGGAGCCCTGGGAAAACAGCAGAGAATGCACAACGTTATGCACATGGCAGAAGTCTGCACAGACAATATCATCCAACTCATGAACAAGGATACAAGGGTATCTCCCCTGGCTGGGGTACGTTTTGATCATAAATACTGCAACAAGCTGCTCTCAATGTACTTATGTCATAAACACAACAAGCTGCTCACAGTGTTCACATAACAATACTGTTTGAGCAATATAGGCAATTGATACTGTTGGTGTGAGCATTTCCTGAAGTGTGGAAACAAGGCTAGGCAGTTTAGCCTCATCTCTTCTGCATGGGCAATGTTGGTCCAATGCAACAAGCTGTGGGACACTTAGAGCCTCTTGTCCCAGGCACAGGCATTCCAACTACGGCCATACCATCACTGTTTGAAGGTTATATTTGGGCATGCTGGCTAAACTCCACTGCTTGGATTACAAATGTATGCTGTACAGTGCAAGAACATTTGCAAACCTCACCTGCATCCAAAAAACTCAATTCTCTTGCCCTCTGATGAAGAGCATCATGCCCTTGTGCCGCATCACGCCGCCGCTGGCCAGCTCGAGGCAACAATTTGAGCAACAGCCTCAAACCGAAGAATACACATACAGGGAGGGTAGAGGCAGACAAACCCTTCCCAACACATCCCAGAAACCGCAATGGCACTGGAAGCCTTGGAATGCCCTTCCCTCCATGCAGCTGTGCGATGCCTGCAGCTGTTGAAGGAACCAGGACAGAGAGAAGGCCAAATTTCGTGGCCGTTCTGGGTGCTACACAATGAAAGGCGCCCATGCACGACACCTGCTCCAGACAAGAACAAAGATTACCTAGCGCCCATTGTAAGCTCTCCAACAGGAAATACAAAGTGGCGTGGCAACCAGACGCGACATTTAGTCAATGCACAGCCGTGACCTGCAGGATATGAACCCAATGGACGTCAGTGGCAGCCTTGCCTGTAGCAGGAGGGCAGGTCCATTCGACAGCCACCAGGATGGGGCTTTCCGAGCCAACATAGCCAGCAAAGGTAGCCCAACCACCTCATACGACTCGGGATCCTTTCCTTTCTCACTGACGCTGTCTCGTTCACCTCCCTGGCTGACCCCAATACCGTCGCCTTCACCACTCTCGTTGGTGTCGCCGTCTTCATACGCGGTGGACGCGTCCCTGAGGTAATATAAAGAGCTCAGCTGAGAGGATGGGGAATGACAACCGCAGACGCCCACAAAAGTCCCTACAGCCCTTACCGTTACCCCTCCCTGCCAACAAACGCGACTTCAGCCACAACTCTGTGGCCCTGCAGGGGATGCAAGAGCGGGAAACTCACAACCGAAAGCTCGCTTTATGTGCCCTTGTACACCCACGAAATGTGGAAGGTCGTCAAGGCGATACTCGCTTGAACGCGGGACCTACCCGTCGTCGCTCTCATCTCCACTTTCTTCGTCGCTGCCGTTTGGGTGGAAAGAGTCGTCCGTCTGATGGCGATGCCAGGGAAAATTCGCAAACGATGCTTCCCTGCGCAGATGCCGTTACCATTCACTGCACCAGGCTCCGCAAACCAAAAGGAGAAACGCTTCTTTGCACGCCCTCAGTTTCCGAAGGGCGGGGTCAAGCGAGCTTCGCACATCCGTGATGATGGTACTGACAAGCAAAAGGACACCCACAAATGATGGGGTTGTAAGCAAGGGCAAGGCACGGGTGTCCACCCCGCGCTGCGCCATGAACGCACCACGTTCCGCCCAACTTTGAAAGCGAGTCGTGCCTGGCCATGGTGCTGGGCAAGGTTGCAGGTCCGTGGAAGGAACCAGGTTGGGTTTTCAGATTCCATCCCCCATCTAATATTATGTACTCGGAACTGTTGAAGTTGGCCATTTCCAAGCCGTTTTATGACATGGCAAATGACGGCTTCAACTTCATCAGCCCAAGATTATCATCTGTGACTACGGTGCCTCTACGAATGACTTTAGCTATTTTCGAACAGCATATGGCGCTCAGAACACTCTGGCAGTCAGAGGAGCAACCAAGGTATTACATTCAACCAGAAATGACCAAAAGGATCAAGCCGTCCTGCGACCTTGGTTCCAGGTTCACCCCAGGCATCCTGCGACAACACTCTCCATGAAGGTTACATCACCAAAATTATCGTTCTGACAAACTACTGACATCCAGCATAGGACAACGCCATCATTCCACTCGCCCACCATCCTCCGACATCCAGTCCGACATCCATGCACAAACCAAGACATAGGGAACAGTAAGAACGCCCAACAGCGCCCATCAGCCACTGCCGTTGCCTCACTACCGCCACCCTGCAGCCAATCCGCAGCTTCCCAGCAGCCATGGGCTCTGGTTGCTTCCGCCAGGTCGAGAGTTGGCGGTTCCTCGTCGCCCAGTGGCTGGCGATGGGGAATCTCTGGTTGTCGCAGTGGTACCTGGACAAAGCGGACTGTCTAGAGGGGTATTGTTGCTTCGGCCTGACCGTCGTCCTCCCCTTCAATGACGAGGACGTGGCCTGGCTGCATGCCCAGTGCGCTGATGGCGAAGACGCCCTCCGGTATTGCCTGCAGGAGGATGCCCGACGGGCATTGCCCGTGAGGCGTACCGCCGCACAACCTGCACGCAGGTCACCTCGGGACACCGGCCAGCACCCTGGGAGCGCCCTGAGTGGAATCACCTGTACAATGCCCAGGCATTGTATCGGCCTTGGGCCCTCCTCGTGCGGCCACACCCCCATCGGCCGTACAGCGGGATTGGCACCCAGGCATTCCGTCAGCGGGTCGTTGCGATGATCGAGCGAGAGGGGTCCCGCGTGCATGCGTGGCGTGGGGTGGAGCTGAATAATTCAGCCTGAATTACTACTACCAGCATATCCACCTCAGCATAGACATCAGCGTCACGTTGATGACATTGTTATTAGAGGGAGTTTTGGGCGAGAGAAACCTCCTAGTGTTAAATAACTCAGATTCACTGTTCACCTTTTATAGTGACCATGGCAATAATTATGGATAGATATTTCCGTTGCTTCTCCTGCATTAGTTTACCGTGTAGTAGAGTGGGGGGTACATCCTGAGATAGAGGTCGGGTCAGACCATAGGCTGATTATAGTGACAATAAACCAGGAGGTGGAGTAGGCTGCCATGCTGGAGCTTAGGAACTGGTGCAAGACAAACTGGCACTAGTTTAACAGGGAGTTGTTTTGCTCCCTGGATCCAACGCAGTGCCAAGGGGAGTTATAGTATAGAGTCCATAGAAGATCATAAAAGAAACATCTACCGGTAGAGCCCAGGTGGTAGGCGTACAGGCATTTGCGGATGATCTAGTTGCATGGGCGAGCAGAGATTTCCGAGATGGGAGGATGCATAGGGGGCTCCGAGTGGCGTTGTGGGCTGTGGGTGGTTGGGTGCCTTTCTGGCGAGTATTCTCAATGGCGAAGTGTGAGGCAATCCTCTTTCATTGCTAGCATATGCGGATAAAGGCCTTTCAAGGTGCAGCTTGTGTCGGAGGTTATTTCACACTCTCGGGTGGTTCTTTATCTGGAGATGTGGTTTGATGATTTTTTGACTTGAGGTCGCCAGGTAGAGCAGTTGTTGGTGATGGCTCGGAGGCGGTTGTGGGCGCTCAGGCACTATATCGGTCACTCTTGGTGTTTTGATCCTTACGCATTTTTTGTTATTTGTCAGGAGAGCCCTCTTTCCACAGATGTTCTATGGGGCTGCATGCTAGGCCTCAGTCCTTCGCGCATGGACATGCCTCGGCCAGCTGGATTCCGTGTTGGCGTATGTAGCTTGGATGGCATTCCATCTGGAGTGCACCACTTGGAGCGAGGCTGCACTGGCGCTGGCTGGGCTACCTCCCGTTTTGGTCTATATTATTCCGCGCCTTTACCGTTATATGGCCGACAAGGACTGGGTTGCATTGGCAGACCTTGCCCATGACCGGTTTCCTCCGTACCACGTTTCATCCCATAAGTTGGGCTGGACGTGGTTCCAAAGGTCCATAGTGGAGCGGACACTCTCCCTCCCATTCCCACACACCAAGGGGTCATCAGGAGAGCCATGGATTGCACCCTCATGCTAGAGTGGCAGGCGCGGTAGAGCACGGTGGTGGTGGGGTCATCCCTTTCGCGAGCCTCCGCCAACGGTCGGATGCGGATGGAGACCTGAGGACATGGGGCTCGGAGGGTGGCGTGTGGTTTTTCCGCGCGCACCCTATGTGATGGATCGTCGATCCCTCTAGCGATTGGTGAGGCATAGTTGGCATGGTCGCTTGGGCGTTCTCAATGCAGTGCAGATATGGTGGGCCCCTTGGCGGAATGGCCCCTATGGTGCATCAGTCGGAAGGGTGGATTGGGTGCAGTGTTGCCTTGCGCACAGTTTGCAGGCAAGTAGTGACAGCAAAACGGATGTTCATTACAGGGCTCCCAGCGTCTTGTCCCCACGGCACACAACATGGTTACATAACCCTCAAGTCACCTTGTACTTAAGCCACCGTCCCACAAGCATCTAAACCGTCCTCAAAGCCCTCATTTCTATGCAGCAAAATGGCCCCAAAATGGCCAAAATCCCAAAATCGCCTGACTGCGCTCGATGCTCCACAAAGGCATAGATAATTGGTTTGCGCCTTTATGATGCATCTCACTCTGCTCGAATAAAGAACCAAAGACAATGTCCACACAACAACTACATCCCCCTGGGGGTAGTTTTCGACCTCAAAAACAAATTACTTTTTAGTCGTCTGTCTCTGGTCTTCTTTGGGCTTGTTTTGTTTGATCATTCTCTCCAAATCTTGGGTGCTCGTGAAGTTATCCGTCGGTATCCATGTGGCGTCGTCAAGGGACCAGCCAATCCATAACACCAGAAATTCCTTCTGTCGTTGATTGCTTGGTCTTCGCCATCTCCACTGCAACAACTTTTCCACGTTGTAGACCTCATCATCCTCTGGCTCAAGTTCTCCCACTATAAGCTCAGTAGACAAAGTCCACTGTGATATTCTAAATAGGTATAGTAGGTTGATGTGGAACACTGGGTGAATCTTCCATGTTGATGGTAGATCCAACTCATATGCAATAGGTCCAATCCTCTGTGTCACAAAGAAAAATCATGTGAACCTGCACTTCAGCTTGCGTATCGATGCCTTCTCTAACTGTAAGTTCTCTATAATGAAAAGCACCTAGTCTCTAGTGCGGAACACTTGCTCTCATTATCTCTGATTTGCATAGTGTTTTTGTCACTCCTTAGGTCTGCACAAATATTGATGAGCCTTCGTGAAGATCTTCTGCATTCAAGATACAAATGTGTTGACACCCTCATGGAAAGTGGTGTCAAGACCATAAATTAGCTCTGCTAGTATACACGGGTGGAAACCATAGTTTAGGTAGAATGGTGTGTACCCAGTAGCTTGCGAAGGCATGTTGTTGATGGTGAATTCAGCCATGAAAATATATTTCTCCCATTGATATGGCTTTTGACTCACATGTAGTGTACATTGTGGTGTCATCTCCACCACCCGGTTGATAGCCTCTGTCTATCCATCGGTCTGTGGGTGATGTGTTGTCGACATCCTCAACTTGCTCCCCAACAACCTCTAGAAGTCCTGCCAAAATCTGGAGACAAATCTGGGGTTCCCTGTCACTCACAATCGACCTAGGGATCCTGTGTAACTTTCCAACAAAATCTCAGTAGATTCCGGCGGTCTCCACTGCTATGATCGTTTGGTATACTGGCACAAGGTGTACCATCTTGGTCGCCCAGTCCACAACTGTGAAGATCCCGTCTCGTCCTGATTCTCACTTGGCCAATCCCATGATGAAGTCCAGACTGACATCTGCCCCTTTCATGGTCTAGCAACTAAAGTGGTTGAAGAAGTCCTGTTGGCTGACGATGCACACTCTTTTCTGCTTGGCATACTGAACAGCTGGTCACGAATTCTCTAATATTCAGTGTGTAATGCGGCCAATAGAAGTTCTGCTATATCTTTTTCAATATCTTTTGATATCCCACATGTCGTGAGTAAGGCACTGAATGCACCTCCTCCTCGTTCACGCCTCGGTGGCCATTACCGAGCGGCAGGTCGACCAGCTGCGCCTCCATCAGGTGCACGCGAAGCATCGTGGCACCGGGCTCGAGGGATCCTGGCGGGCTCTACAGGCCCAGATCCGCCTCAGCGAGCCCGAAGGCGGCTTCACCACCGACACCATCGACGGGACGCTCGGTGCCATTCGCAAGGAGCTCCTCACCCAGGAGGTCAAGCTTGCGACCAAGGCGGCCGCGGCCAGCCGGGCGTCCAAGGCGGGGAGCGGCAATCCTCCTCCCCATTCGAGCGGCCCGTCGGGGAAGCGGGGCAAGAGGCGCAATCCCCCTCAAGCGGCGCGTCCACCTCCGGACGCATGACCGACTTCCCGTATAATCGCCCCCGCGGACGCCTCTCGGCATGGCGGAGGATTGGAGCGCCATCGCACGTTCTTCAATGGATCCATTCGGGCGTCCCGCTGCCCTGGGGACCGCAGGGACCTCCCCCACCTTTCGACCTGGGCGAATACCCGATCCGTTCGGCGGAGGAGCGGGCGGGCTGGACGGCCCTCCGCGAGGAGTATTTGAAGTCGGGCGCGATCGTCAAGGTAGACCCCGGCCCCTCTTCGCGCATCTCTCGCGCGTTCTTGGTGGAAAAAGGGCGGGAGGATGGAGTGATGAAGTATCGACTGTGCGTCGATCTCCGCCGCATTAATCGGCACTTGCGCGCAAGATGGGCTTGCGGTACGAAAAATTACGGGA